CCCCCCCCCCGTTTTTTTAAAAAAAAAAAATGACAGAGCTGAATATTAAGAAAGTTAGGTATAATGTTTTGGGGAGTGGAGGATTATCTTTTCTAAGAGATATAATTGTTAGTTTTTGAAGTTTATAATATACCTTGTTTTAAAAAGATGGATATTATATTAAAAACTGCATGCCTAAATGAGTTTTTCTAATTGACATATTTTGGAAAATAGTTCAAATTCTAGGTTATTTTTAGAATATCTAGCTCTTCTCAAATTTTGTTTGACACTTTGTATTTGCTCAAGTTCTGTTCACATCTTTAAGTGTCAACTTCGTATTTTACTACTACCTATATTTGATCATATTAAGGAAAAAAGGAAGTGAGGGAGGAAAAGAGGGAGTGAGAAGCAAAGGGAGAAAAGGAACAGTACTAGCCAACTGTTCTTGGTAAAACCCAACAGAAAATACGAGTAACAGATAATAGCTAATATATTACACAGACTTTGTGCCCAGTTTTGTGAGGCCCTTGCTATTTACTTAAGATTCAAGCACATAGTGAAAATTTGTTCTTAAGACTAAAATTTCAAATGAAAAGAAAACTTTGTTTTTTAGAAGACTCAGAATAGGCATAATAAATAATTCATTCACTTAAGGCTGTTTTCTGGTATGTGTCCATATGTATGGAGTACTTTACAATAAAAATGCAGTTGGGTTTGTGTTTGTGATTACACATTCATGATTAATGGCCATAAAGGGTACAATTATGCCGATTATACTTTTAATTGGTTATCCTATACTAATGTGACAGCTTTTCCCGTAAACACATACATCTGAATAAGCAAAGTACACATTTCTTTTGCCCCGAAAGTAAAGCCTTCTGATAACAAAAATTAATAGTTGAAGGTCTAACTCTTAAAAGCAAGAAATGGAAAACTGTTTCATGTTCCTAAAAGAAATCATTTTATTTTCTTCTTAACCTGCACTTCAAACACTGTTATTTCTTTTCATTTAGAAACCTTATTTTTGTTTCCTGATGTTACTTACATAACATATGGTAAATTGCACCAAATGTTGCATACTGCACAAAAAACTATTTTCTGGCAAAGAGCATGAAGAACAATGATTGATATGAAAACCTTGGGTAGAGTGCAGCTCAGCTCAACCTGTTTTATTACTGTTGCTGGACAGGTGTCCTCTTCTGTGCCCCATAGGGGGCGGGCTCTGCTTTCTCTCACGCCCTCTGAAAATGGGCTTCCTCAGCTGCCCTCACTGTCCTCTCTCTCACCCAAACAGATCGACTTCGTCTCATTTCACCATTAACCTGATAATTTCTATAAATGTGTTGCCCCTTTGTAGCAGGGGCTGTAGATTTGAGTTAGGGCTTTTTATAAGAAACGAAGACACCCTCCCCCCAAAGGAAAACTTCAGGAACTGACATAAGAAAATTAATACATGGTCAGCTGAAACTTATAGTATCTTATGCAATATGCCAAAGAGCCCTGGCCAGGTGGCTCAGCTGGTTGGAGCCACACCCCATACATCAAAAGGTGACGGTTCAATTTCCAGTCAGGGCACGTACCGAGGCTGCAGGCTCTATCCCCGGTTGGGGCACGTACGGTAGGCAACCCACTGGTGTTTCTCTCTCCCTCTTCCTCTCTCTAAAAAATCAATAAACATAACCTTCGCTGAGGATTAAAAACAGATAAATATATTGTCTTAACAATAAATAAATAAAAATAAAATATGCCAAAGAAAATAGTTCAAACTGTCTAGAACTATTGGCTGCCTTTTTTTACCAACCTTGTCTAGACCAGCATTTAGCACAATAACAAAAAACCGAGAGAAAGCCCTTCTTTGGAACACTGTTCTAACCAGAATAATGTTACAGCTGTGCAGCATGACCTTCTCCTTGCTACCGTAGGCCCTTTCTGAAGCAAGGCAGGGAAGAAATAAATTAGAATTAATGATGATGAATTAACAATCAATTATACGATGCTGCAATTAATTATGCTGTTTAATTTTAAGAACTTTTATTCTCCTTTTCATATTTCTCTTAGCAATTAACACATTAGTAGCATACACACAGTTACGGCCCAGAGACGAAGTGCCTGCATCCCTTTTAAAGTGTTTAGACTCATCTCAGCAGTGACTGTCAGTGAGGCGCGTAGGACTTTCTCCTGCGTATTACAGCCCTGTTTAGCCCAATGCCACGCTGTCGCCCACCCGCCATTATTAGTAAACTGTTAAATGCAGTTTTCAGAGGCAGGGTATATTCGCTCGGGTTTTCATCGCTGACTTTTAAGAGTCTCCTGCGGGGTCTTCTGTGGCAGACCCGTGTGTTTGTGCAGGTAGAAAAGCCTG